TCTTGAAGCTCCTCATGGGAGCTTGTGCATCGACATGTATAGCCGCGCCATTTCTCCTATCGCTGCAGTGGCGCTTCTATGTGGGAGTATGTAGTCTATCCTTGTACCATGAACTTGCAACGGATTTTGTAGTTAGATCCCAGCAAGCGCTTGTTCTCCGGAGACTGGTACACCCACGCAACCGCGCGAGTAGGGATCTTTTAATGTGACCGTCCTCACACTTGCTGCGGTGGCACAAACTACTGCACGCACCGATGGTTGGGCAGGTGCTGGTCATTTGCCTTTCCCTGCGCATGCCAGCTGTGGAGGTGTTACACAATCGTGGAACCCTAAACAGTGGTCTCCATGTTCTGTTACATTATCCCCTATGTAACCCTTATATCACCCCTGTATTGTAGGGTAGTCGGAGCCCAAACGCCTTCAGCCAAGGTGTCTCAGCCTTTGATTACATCTTGCCGTGATCCTGACTTGTTTGTTGCTCAAGCCTGCATGCTAAGCTGCGACCCTGAACTTTAATTAGGTCAAGCAACCTTAACATAGGCCAGACATAGAGCAGAGAAGCAGAATAAGCCATGGATTCATGAAAGCAACGTGTAGGCATTGTACAGAGATAGAACATGCATCATGTCTCCCAACTTGCACAGCATCCTCCAGCCATATCTTAACCTCCACACTTCTCTGACAACCCTTGATCATCCCTTTCATCACCGCCCCCGCGTATGAACCCCTCCCACCCCTTACCACTAGATATTCCCAATAAAAATAAGTGTATTCCAGGAAACTGGTCATTGTTAGCAGGTTGGAGGGTTCATGGGAGGGATGATCTAGCTAGATAAAAGCCCAAGTTATGACCAGGTGATATTCTATGATATTCTATATGGCCCCTTCTGTCGCACAGGTAGTGTTGAAGTGTGCAGGGTACGCGGTGTGGGAGAGGAGAGGGGCAGCACCTATCGCCCTCCAACTCGCCAAGCCCACCAGTTTTATTGTGCAAATACCATCAAATACCACCGAAACTGAACGCAGAATTGCTCTCATTTCGCGCCTTTTTCTTGTATATGTATATATATATATATGTCTAATGTTGGGTTCAGTATAATAACCTCCCCCAGAGACCTGGGCGGAAAAATCTCGAAGCAAAGGTTCGTGAAAATGGGGATCATAGCAGGAACTCTGGGGCCTGGGCTTTCTCAGAGTAGAAGTAGGAGTATGGGTGGAATTCTCTTACTTTGATTTCAGTTGCGAGTCATGATATTTGCGGATCTTTAGGCCCGGGAACTTTATTATGACCACTCCTTTACAAGATGCACCCCCTGACCGCCCAACCAATGCAGGCAAGTCATTGGTGCGCAGTTAAATGCAATTTAAATCGAATTAAGAATCCTAAATCTCAGGATTTTCTTTGGCCGGGGGAATATTTCATCACCAGTACCAACCTTTTTATAATAGCTAACCCAACATTAGGGGACCATGAATCTTCGATTCCCTCAACCCTCAACCCTAAAACCCTAAAGCCCTAAACCCTAAACAGCACGGCCAGGAACTTAATTCCTTTCAAGGGCCAAGTGCTGAACATGATCAGCGAGTGGGCCTTCAGCCAAACCAAGGTGCCGGGCACCTTCTTTCTTGGTTTATTTAGATGGTGAGCTACTGCCATATAGTCCTTCATAAGGAACTCAGATCCATCAATTATCTGGTAAATGTTGACTGTAGCTCATGTAGGGATTATAGGATTTAGGGTTTAGGGGTACAGGGTTATACAGGGGTGTGTAGGGTTATTCAGGGATTCTCTAGGGATATGACTCATATGGCTCCAATGATGGAGAAGCAAATGGAAAAAATGATGGACGATGAAATGCAAACTGGGGGTTTGTTAGGTTTCAGAGTTTTGGGTTAGGGAACGCAAAAATCCTGATGATTTCTCTTTGGGTAGCCCTCTGCCCAGTAGTAATGCTCCAGTGGGCGCAAGACAGAGGTGTCGGAGGTTCAAGTGTAAGACCTTGAGGATCCAAGCTTTGTGAGCTGTGGGGTCAAGGATTTTTGGTTCAGTGTTACTGAACCCTAAACCCTAAACCCCTAAACCTTCAACCCTAAACCGCTGCGAACAATTCTACGCTCTCCGGAGCCTTGCCATCTCTGGACTGAGCCGCCGTCGTGGTTTGTAGCGATTTCTATTAGTAAGAGGATGTTGGAATCCCCAACCCCCATAGCCATCATAGCTGTCCTATGATTATGTCGCAGTTATGATATGGTCCTGATGTTGGGCCTTGGGGTACAAAAATCCTCTGATTGTGACAAGATTGGCACTACACATCGCTAAAGGACGACAACTAACACGTGCTAGCTGGCAGTGTTTTTCATTTTCTTCTACATCATCATAATATTATCTTGACTTCTACTTCGAGCTGTGCTATGCTATGCCTCGTTGCTGTACTTTACTGCGCTGCAAAGTTTTGATGTGAGACGTTCTACTGTTGCAAATTTTCTGCCATTCCATGACTATACCCTACTTCGTTGCTCTTCGTTGCAGATTAGGTATGCAGATGCTACTATTCCTTCTGCTGCAGCTACTACCGCTGCAGCTACTACTGCTGCCGCTACTACTGCTGCTACTGCTACTGCTACCGCTGCTGCTACTGCTTCTTTGGGGTGCACGTTTGCCAAGCAGATCTGTGGCCAGGACATCATCCCGAACGCACTGATCGAAAACGTCGATGCCAGCGTGCCGGCCCTCGGATTGCTAAGCACTTCTCCTTAAAGAGATCGGGATTAGGGTTTAGGGTATACCTTAAGGAGCAAGGAATAAGGGGATATATGATGTAGAAATAGTAATATAAGAATAATTACGGGAATATGTTAGGCAGGAATAAGAATATAAGAATAACGGAATATGCTAGGTAGGAATGATAATAAAGAATAAGGGAATATGTTAGGTAGGAATAAGTATATGTTAATAATGGAATAATATGTATATATACAGGGATAATAATGCACGGATTTTTTTCCTTATTCCGTAGGTCCTGTAATAGTGGCAAAGTAGGAATATAAGAGGGCCCTAATATTACTATCATTATCCTTAATTACTGGGTGGGGGGTCCACCTAAAGTATACACTAGGCATGATACCAGGATTGCTGATATGACTCTAAGTCACATTCCTTAACTATGCGAGTTCTTTATCCTTTGGGTGAAGGGCCTGGCGTGGACCCATCCAGCAATGCGATCTTTGGCGTTAGAGAGTTTGCCCTGGAACTTGAGTAGTTGGTTCATGGTCCAGAGTTGTTGAGAAAGACTCCTTACCCTGTACATAGGCCATTGGCTCCTTGCATGATCCCTCAACTCTCATACAATTTCTACGGAGCCAAATGCGTCAACCATACGATCCATACGAGGAGCTCTGCAACTGCAGTCCATACATCCGGGCTTAGGGTTTAGGTACTGACCCTGGGCCTCTAAAATGGGCACTCACCTGTTTCCTGAGTCCTAACTACGAGCCCTTAGTTGAGTTTGCAAGGGTTTGTAGGGTGTTTAATGGGCATGTAAGGGCCCTAGGATGAACCGCGCATGCTAGGGGCTCATTGTTCCAACCCTAATCCCTAAACCCTGAACCCAAATTCCTAAGCCGAAAGAAAAAATCCTAAGCCCCATAGTTCAAGCCTTAAAATACATTAAAGGCCGTCTCTGAGTTCAGAACGCATCATGGGATCCTCTTCTGCGCCCTCTCTCAAATATGGTTTAAATGAGCCCTCCATAAGGTTTTAGGGTTGGTTGTAGGGTTTTAGGATTTAGGATTTAGGGAAGTTTAGGGTTTAAGGTAGGAATATTATCCCCCTACAATGGAGAATCAAATGGAGAATAACATGGAACATGAAATGGAGACTGGGGTATTTTTGAGACTTAAGGAACTTCTCTTAAGTTGCTATATTCGGGAAACCCTATTTTTACTATATATATATATACACCCGTTATGGTAACTTAAGTTCCACAGCAAGCCAGGAATTAGGCCTTCTTTGGGGTCTATCTTGGGGAAGGAGGTAGGGGGGGGTGTAGTGGAGGATTCCATGAGTACAGATATGCCTGAACAAGGAGTAAAAGCATTCCCTCGCAGTCCTTGAATAGCAATAGAGCACCATGCGTCAACTTTCGCAGCAAGCAAGGATGCCTTCAGAAAGTTTACGCCGTGGTTATCTACCTGAAACGAGCCCCTTCGTACTCTGCGAGACGGCAAGTACACTGAGCTTGCAGGAATCCATCACGCATCAGGTTCTGAAGATTTGGAGATAGACTGGGAAGGCGGCTGAATGGCCTAGCGCGAACTAATTACGTAGCATTACCTGGAGGAGTGTGGGATTCCTCCTTCTCCTGCCAGGCAGCTGATTGCTACTATAATTACAAATTACCATAACTATTAGTCTTATTATTGCTATTATCAACATTTTTATTGGTATTTTCTTAATATGACCATTGCTATTATTACTAGTATTACTATAACTAATACTGGTTTCATTATTGCGCTGCCTAGCGGGGAAAGCTCAGGTGGACAGTGCTTCAAAAAGAGTCGACTAGCAGTAGGAAGCTAGCTTATTTCGACCAAACTGTCCTTTCGCTGAAAAATGAAGGCAGTTTTGAATAAACCGTGCTTTCTAATTTCAACATAGTTCTCATATGAGCAGCATCATGGAGAGTGATCTTGAAAACTGTGCTACCCAGGTGGTAGTCCAGAAGAAGATGAAGAACTTGAACGTGGAGCTTATCGTCAGAGGCAGCGCTCCTGGAGGGGAAGCAGACTTAATAGGATTGAACAATTATTCACTTAGGGAGGGAGCTTCAGCTGGGAAATGGGGCACTTTAAGGGGTTCTTTATATTCGAGCCAAGTCCTCGGGAAGGTTAGAAGGACTATGAATCTGAGCTTCCCATGGCGGGGCGGCGAGGGATGCCAAATGTTTTGAGGTTTGACTCAGTCGAAATGTCGATCTTTGACCTGGACCTAGAAAGCAGTTCGAGCCCTATTTTCTTTATCATGTAGCGAAAGATTCTGAGGATTTCCTGCAGAACAGGATTGCTTGAGAACTTACCTTCCAGTACAAGCATGTCTAAGAGCTCAGGGAGCAACCTGGGCTAACGGTTTTTTATTTCACAGTTTTTTCTTATGTGGTTTAAGGCTTAAGGTTTGAGATTCTGTAGGTTTAGGGTTTAGGGTCTAGGCTGATTCAGGCAACTCCCAACTCCCAAGTTGCTGAAGGACTCCACATCTTCCTACTACCTACATGAGAGTTCCATCAATGCTAAAGCCTAAACCCCCTCGAACATGTGGAGACTACACGCTAAGCCCCGGACTCCGGACCCTAAACTCTGAACCATGTGGTAGTTTCCCTTGGAAGCCCGGATTCCATCAACTTTGGCATTTGATGCTCCGTTATTGGGGCTAACATCCCTAAACCCTAATCGCGCTAAACCCCTAACCCTTTACCCTAACTTCTAAGCCCCTAAAACTCTAAACCCTAAAC